AAAATTTACTTTATGGTAGGATTTCTGAGAGTGAAAATAAATGAAAAATTAAACAAATCTTTATGCATAAGTAATTTTTAAACTGTATCTTTTTTATTGTTATATAAAAATGAATATAGGCTGAGTAACCTTCAAGAAATGCAGGAAGTGGGACTCTACCTCACCGATCTTTGTCTTCATGATAGCAGTAGAGAAATCGTTCTCGCTGGATGGCAACATGGAGCAAGGCTAGAGATTTCATACGAGAAGGTAGGCTTTTATCTTGCCTGTAGGTTTTTATCTGCCTTTTATCTCATTATAGTTATGAGCTAAAGGACTACAAAAGTAAGATAAAAGCATATAAGATAAAACACTTATTATAGTTATAATTTATCTTACTTATAGGAGCTATTACTTGGAGGCTTTTATCTTATTATAGTTGTAAGTAATTATACGTAAGATACGTTATCATACATGCTTTTATCTTACTTTTGTGGGTTTTAATCTTTCTTATAGTTATACGTCATTGGTCTATTTACCTCTTAAGGGGACTCGTACACCTTAAAACAAATAAGATCTTCGAATATGTGACCATTGCGAGAATTGGGATTACTTATTTATTTTAAAAGCAATTACTTCCAACTTTTACAACTGACTACATAATATACCTGCTTTCTAAAATAGTAATCAGAAACTTTGTGTTGCCACATATGTTTATAGTTTAATACGCTTTTTGTGACAAAATGTTTCGTCATGTTTCCATCTTGCGCCCACAGTTTAAGACATTCTGTTGCATAATTGAATTCCATATTTAATATATAGCTTTTATAACATTTGGAAACTATTGGGAACCAAAAATTCTAACAATTTCATGTTAAATTTTTATTTTATTTCGAGTTGAGTTTATAAATATGTATTTTATTTAAAAAAATCTAAGATTCCTGCATAAAATTTTTTAATATTAAAATATTCATCAGATTTTGGTTCTGTTAGAAAATAGTGCTCATAAAGAATTCCATCTAATTCAAGTATGTAGTTACCATTTAGCCATTTTTAAATATCTGCACGCAAGTGGAAACTGATAAAATGTTTGTCACAAAGCGGATTAAATTACAAAAAAATTTGTGTCAGCACAAACATTCTGGTTACTACTTTCCTATTATGTAGTCAGCTGTAAAAAGTTGGAAGTAATTGCTTTTAAAATAAAATATCCCAGTTCTTGCAACAATCACATATTCTAAGATCGTAAGGGGTTTAAGGTGTATGAGTCCCCTAAGGGTCATTTATATTTCGTGGTGCATCGATTAATTTCTCTTGCACGTCTTCAGTCTTTAAATTTCCTTAAGATATGAATATAACAAGAATAACGTGACGAAATTTAACATCGTGTCTTATGTTAATTTCTAAAATCAGAAGAAACGTCGTGTCTTATGGCTTAATTTCTAAAATCAGAAGTTCCGGAACCCTCTAGAAGGCCATCAGAAAGAAGTGTAAAAAAATTAATAAAGTAAGTAATAATTAAAATAATGAAATTAATGTTAAAAAATATAAAAATATAAAGCTATAAATAAATTTAGTAAATTACTAAAGTAATTATAAATAGTTAAATAAAAATTTATCATCGAACCTCGTCTTATTTGGGGCTCCGATTCGACTTACAATTTCAAACAAAAAAAAAAATTAAGAAATAGCTCAGCTGACCTCCGGCTGAATTTAGACTCTAAATATACAGTACACCGTACAATTTCAAATGGGGGGGGGGACTTCTTTTTCTGGCACGCCTGTAGAAAAAGTAAATGCATTAAAGCGTCACTGGGAAAATGGAGAATGCTAGAAGCAATATGCGAGTATGGAAAGAAATTTTGAAAGAGAATTGTAGCTTTGAAATCAGACAACGCTTTCTGACCGCGATGCCCTGCCACTATAATTCTAACTGCCAAGCAGAATGAAACTGGCCCAAAATATTTTCCCCGAATCTGGTCCCATAACGACCGAATTTATGTGCGAATAACATGGGAATAAATGTAAGGTCTGCATAAGTGACAATTTTTGTCCCCCGTATTTGGTTACATAGCTCACAGACGTTCTGCAATGAGAGATCGCTAGCACTGGACGTGGAAGACGGAGGTAATCACTGTCAATACTTTCGGGGACAAAGCATTTCACCAGCTTTCATTAATTTATTGCACTACCTGCAAAATAAGCGTTTGACATGTGAATGGTTTCTTTCCTTAAAAATCTTAACCTTCGTTAAAGCGTTTCCTCCGCAGGAAAAGATAGGCATGAATTCGGAATTTATAATCGATTTTAGAGCTATATATGTTGGTCCAAAGGGGCAATTTGCCCAGGACTATTAATTTCGTTTTGGCATTTTGCTTTGAAATGTCGGTTCACTTTTCAAATTGTTGCCACCAAATATTAGAGCCCTGTACTTGTGGTGATGGCGATAAGGGAGGCGCCTGGCGCCCTACGAAAGTGTGGGCAACCCTAGAGGAGAAGTTTTTCTTACGTGTAGCGAGCAGAGCGAAACAGGCGGCTGTCGGGGAGTATGGCGATGTTCCTAAATAAAGTTAATTTTTATTGTGCACTATGTCTAGTTAATATTTATATTAATGCAGTAAGAACACGATCTGTGATATGGAATGCGAGCATTGGTGGTAAAACATACAGGTAACAACATGATAGGAATCACCATAATGGTGACTTGAACTGTGCTAAATCAGGCCGTATGAACAGTTCTCAAGCACTTTCGGTTTTGACTACAAGGCCATCACTCAAGATCTCCAAACCAGAAGTAATGGATTATACCGTTTTTCATCCTCTGAATCACAGATGAGTAGTAATTATAGATTCATTTTATAATTTCTGTTTTTTCTACTTATCATTTAATTTCATTTTCTTTAGTTAAATTTTTGCTTTTATTTTTGGCTTAAAAACCTTGCACAATGTCTGATGTTCATGCCGTCCAAATTGCGGTTTATAACCAATCAGACCCATCTTTATGGTTTATTATGTGTGAAAGTACCTTGCTCTTGCCACCCCCAAACAGGAATCCATTATAAATATAATTATATAGTTGCTCTCTTCCTCCAGATACTGCATCAATAGTACGGGATTTACTATGAAACCAGACCCTATTGATCCATATACAAAGCTCAAAAAGTTAATAAAATGTTCAGAGAATCTTCTCAGCAAGATTCGCAGTTATTATCTGGAGAAAATTAGGCTCTCGAAAACCTTCCGATTTGCTTAGAAATATGAAGCGTCGAGCAGATCTTTAAAAGTGTTCCTGATAATTAATGTTAGAATTATTCCTTCAAGTTTTCCTTCTTCGACTGTTCAGTCTATTTTGGCCAGCGGTTTCCAATTAACTGTGATAAAGCTGCAGAAATTGCCGACAGAATTTAGAAGTAATCCAACCCCAGGGACTTGGCCGTTCTCGCACAGCGATCAGTCTCTGAGGATAAATTATTTAAAAAATAAACAATTAAACAAAGTTTGATCGCATTTCTCTTTCTCGTGGTCGTCCCAAATCGCGGAGATCGAATAAGGAAAGAAGCATTCAAAAGAGAGATTATCTGTTGCTGGTATCATAGACGTTTTGGGAAAAGTATAGAGATGACAAAATGTACAAAAAACCTTGTTCAACAGGGAAACGAAACCAGCAAAGAATAGAGGCGACTTATTCTTTGGCCTCAAGTTTCACGTCGCCTGTCGTTCGTGACCGTAGAACAAACCTTTCTTCTTGGTCGATCCGGCTTTACGTGTCATACTTCCAGCAAATAATTCTCAAACGGAATTCGTTCCAACAAACACTTTTCGCTGCTAAATCTTCTACTATTCATGTTTTATGGTCAAAAAACACTTTCTTTAATTTCAAATTAAGACGACAGTTTACATGGACATTTTTATAGCAAATGTTAGTACACCCATTCTTGGGAGCAGATTTTCTCCATTTCTTTGAATTGGTGCCTGATCTCAGAAAACAAATGTCTCAAAGATTAAAAACGCATTTAAAACCGTCGGTGCGTGAAAAATGCAAGCATTTATTAGTAAAACTGTATTAGTGATACACCATATCACAAATTTTAAAAAGAATTTCCTTCAGTACTAGATTACCAGATCCTAACCAACCTGTTTAAACACAACACGTTCATTATATCATAACTAAAGGTCCACCTGTGGTTGCAAAACCTCGTCGGTTAGCTCCAGATCGCTTAAAATAGCAAAACAAGAATTTCAACTATTGATGCAATTGGGCATTGGAGACCTTCGAGCAGCAATTATGCATCCCCACTTCACCATGGTTCCAAAAAAGGGAAGCTGGATGGAGACCTGTAGGAGATTATGGAGCATTGAACGCTCAAACAATAAACAAAATACCCTATGCATGGTTTAGCCGATTACTTATGCTGCATTTGCAGGTACTAAAATTTTAGTCATGTCGACCTGATTAAGGCCATACCATAAATCCAATTAACCCAGCCGACATCCACAAAAACCGCCATATGCACACCATTTCGGTTTATTCGAAAGTACCCGTATGCAATCGGCTTAGGCAATGCATCGCGACTTTTCAACGTTTTTAGATGAAGTCACGCGGGATTAGAAGGTGTTTACGCTTTCGTCGATGACTGCTCATAGCCTCTAAAGATTCTGAGGACATGCAGCATTTGAAGCTTTATTTTCAAAACTTCAGGAATGACTTTGCATAATGTTCAAAAGCACCTTTGGTCAAACGTCTATTGATTTTCTTAGGGTTTTCACCTTGTGAAAACGGAATTGAACCTCTTCCTGACAAAGTCAAATGTATTTTAGATTTCCTCAACCTACCACTATCACTCAGTCGCGATTTTAGGCATGTTTAACTTATAGATGTTTCATACTAAAGCGCACATTTCTTTCTCTTAATAAAATTGTTAGAAGGCTAGATTAATAAAAGAAATAGTTCTCGTGTTCAGGATTTCCCCACAATTAAATTGGAACGAGAATGCTGAACAAGGCCCTTTATGCGCCAAAAAGGCCATTGTCAGGCTACCCTTTGAGACACCCTATTCCCCGGAGCCAGCTAAGCATCTGGGTAGATCCTCAGACGTCGCAATCGGCGGCACACTTATGCAGTGTCTCAACAACATGGGATCCTAAGCATTTTTCTCTATGAAACTCAGTAAAATCAACAGAAATGGTCTCCGCGTACGATAGGGAATATTTTCTATTTATTCTGCAATAAGAAATTCCGACACATGTTAGAGGGCAGAAATTTTTATTAT